TTTTGGGCTATGGAAGGAGGAGTTATGATTAAGATTATTAAGGAAAATATAAGAATTGTTATGTTCGGTGACTCCATTGAAGTGGTAGGTTAGGTGTAGGGTGCTGGAGCAGATATATTTATAGACCAGTTCTTCAAACTGTTGGCAAAACGAATTGCCTTATCCATTTGAACATATTTACGTACCTGCATGAAACCAGTTTTATAGAAAGAGATCATTATTACATTATTTTTTTAATTTTTATTCTTCTACTCATTTTCAACTGCACATTCTTTAATAAAATAATATTTTACAGCACATCAATAACTTTTCTTTCTTTTTCAACCACATATTTTCCATCACATCAACGATAAAAATACATTCTTACCTTCAAAATGTGCAGCAAACGGGGAATAAGAAAGTAATTTTAAATATAAAAGGTCGAGTAAGTATTTTGATCTATGACGAAAGTTATTTGATGTCAGCAATCTCATTAATACTTATTGGAGAATATCAACTATGGTTTTTCTCTTTGCCCTCTCTTATTTTCTTTTTTTAAATTATTAATAAATCATACTCGGTTCGGTGGAATGCTTTAGTAATAACAAAAAATAATTGAAGTGTTACGTAAGGGGTTTGGTTTGACTTTTAACTAATGGACAACTAGGAGAACAAATTTGTCTCATCCAAAGATGAAGAGTCAAATTGAGAGAATATTCTACTCTTCATGCGCACTAATTATACTTTTCGACATCACACCTTGAGTCTAGAATCTATATGGCTCATTGTTGCGTATATATTCACTAGATAGCTCACCACGAAGAATTCACATTCAAAATCGAGCAATTCATAATAGGCTTTCAAATAATCTTTTTTTTTTTAAAAAGACGCTAATTTATTTAGGGTCTGTTTGGGTTGGATTAAAATCTCTAATTTTTAGAGTCCCACTCTTCAAGCGCTCATCAAGCGAGTCAAATCCATTTGTGATATAAATTCCAAAATTTAGTTTTCAAGGATTAGTCTGGTATGTGCATATATACCTAATTTTTACATATAGTCAAAATCGTTCCACATACGTAATTCACGCAGAGAATCAATACATATTCAACCAATCATCTCTATCAACAAGTCACCGCCAAACTATTCTTGCACACATTAATTAAGTG